AAGAAATATGAAAATCTCCCCCTGTGTCGCAGAGATAGAACCTTGTATTTTGACACATTGAATTCTATATCGTTCATAAGGGACCACAGATGAGCTGCATTCAACGTTTCTTGGAGTGCCAGTGAGCCCGTTGGTTGCGTTACTGTATTCCAACTTTTGGCGTCATCTGCGAACAGTAATGATTTTGGCCCCAGAGCCTTCAGTAGATCGTTTATGATCGTTAGGAAAAGTCGCGGGCCAAGCACAGATCCTTGTGGAACCCCACGGGTAACGTCCATAGGACTGGAAAGCGAATCAGAAACACGAATCGATACGGTCCGATGTCGGAGAAATGCTTCGATCCAGCCAAGCGCGAGGCCCCGAATACCGTGGTTATAGAGTTTCCTCAATAGAATGTCGTGATTTATCCGATCGAACACTTGAGAAGTCAAGATAAATTACGTCCACCGCGTCACCATCATCAACTGCTTTTGGACATTCTTCTCGTGCAATCAGCAGATTGGTAGCGCAGGATCGCTTCTGTCGGAATCCATATTGATTAGGTGGCAAAACTTTGTGCTTCTCTAGGTGTTCCATCAGTATGTATTGGTTCTGGCAATCACACACACGGCAGGAGTGAACAATGTATTCGTATTTTCTTTTCTTTCAACATCCTGATACTGTCTTCATTTGTGAGCTGCTGTAGTGTAACTATTTTGTATCCGTTTCCAGTTATTTTTACTCTGGAATGGGAACGGGGCCTACGGCGATCGATTTGTAGTTTAATGTTTGCGAGAGACTTATAACAGGCATTATTGTATTTTAAACACGCGTACCGCTTCAAACAGAGTGCCTAAAAATTATGATGAACATATATTTTCATTAGCTATTCGGCGGGCATTACTTTCACTATGTCGATCTGGTCTCATAGGAATTTCGAGAAAGAAATGTCTGTCAGTTTATCTGTCTCCACAGCATGGCGTTTCTGAAGCTGTGTATGTGAGCAGCTGTTGTCTATCTTAAATGAAGCAACAATACTACACCAAGTGCATTACTCATTTGAATACACCGAAGATGTCTGCAGTTTCATTTGGTCACTATCGGTTGCTGATTTAAACTTAAAATTGCTAATTTGCGTTTTCTGATCAGCCAAACCCGGTATCAATCAATCCGTCAATAAATCAATGCTTTTATGGCATCTCATTGCTCTGTGTGGCAAATAAATAGTATATTTGTCAAAACGGAATGCTATATGTACTTTGCCCCTATAGTGGTCTGATTGCTATCCTATTGACCTGATTGTATTTTTTCAGCCAGGAATGATTGTCATTCACTTCCCTTTATCCATTTCATTGACTTAAAAAGACACGTGTTCAGAATTGATATAGGTTATCGATTTCGAGTGCTTTCATCCAACTGTAAATCCATATTCATAGAATTGTGGACGAGTTGAAATGAGTCATCCGAACAGGGCGAGGTTTGACAAGTGAGTTACCTGTTTAGGTTCGACTACGAGGTAGGGTAAAGCTAGGTAACAAAATTTCATAATACTTAATAAAAGTGAACTGCTTTAAACAAGATTATAAATGCGGATGGTGGCTCAATGCGGGAGGGACGTCACATTGTGTTGAGTTGTTATCTATATGTTTCATTGTTTGAAAGGATTGGACGAGGGTACGTTTAAAGCACGCTAATTTGATGATCGACATCAATTGTACCCTCATGTCCTTTTCTTCATTGTTTCATTACTCAAACTTACTTTCGCCCAACGTATAAATACTACTGTGTTCATTTTTGTTCACAGACAATATGTCCTCGATTTGGTGGAGATGGGACGCAAATTTCTTCTCTACGCTCATCACACTGAAGTCCTCGATGCCCTGTCCAATGTCCTCTCCGAAAAGGTGGGTCGATATGCGCCTGAGTTTCTGATTATACGCTATTTGCCGCTTTTCAAACAATTTCGCTGTTGACTTTTCTATTTGGATGGAATCAAACGCAAATTTTACATCAAAACACCCATGATTGTTATCACTGGGGCTGTTTTCCACTGCTATGGTAGTTCATAAACCTGCCTATTGTACAGTATTGCTCTTGTCCCGATTTAGCCCCACGATCCTTGCAAAGTTGGACAAAAACTGCATTCAACTCGTTGCCAATAATAATGGTATATTCGTGCGCGCCCGTAAAGTATACAATCTGCATTCGTTTGTTCGCGCACGCCTGGGAGCAATCTGGACGAATGCTTATTTACTTGGGACATATTCGGTATTTCGTATTTGTGTGCATTTGTGTGTGTGCTCTCGAGTGGATTTCTGTTCAGCAATCGATCATGATTCTGAATAATTCGTTCACACACGCACACACAGCTGCACACTGTCGCACATAGACGTGGGGCTCCCCCCGCTAGCTGTGGGAAGCGGTGTTCTGCGCAGTCTATTCATCCTAGAGATTTCTCTCCACACGGCTGAGGATCTCATGCCGCCGCCTATTGTCGTTCTAATGTGCTGGCCGGTTGTTACCCCGACTCCTAATAACAGGTGGTTCCACACCGAACTGCCGCTACTAGATAGCCAGAATGCGCCGCGTGGTGTGTGTCTGTGTGGATTATTGGAAGACAGACAAGAAACTGCTTGAATCACCGAAAGAAGCATGTGCACGTGTGAATTCGATTCTCAACACGAGTGCGATCATAGTTGGAATGATGCGATGAAATCTACCACCGCCACCGCTGCCGCCCACCCGTTTGCCCACCTGATCTAAGTCCCTATTACCAGTCCGGGTTGTCACATGAATCAAGTTGAGATTATTGTTCGTGCAACTTCATCAATAGAATAGCCTCTTGCAGCATCGAAAATCGGCCGAGGAGATTCGGGAACTACGGTAACCAGTTTTGCACCACGCATACTGCACATTTTTGCGATTTTTGAAATTGTGTGCCGACCAGTGAATGAATGAATGGGCGGGTAACTTTCACCTAGTTCTTTGCTTTCCGCCTCCTCCTCCTCCTCCCTCTCCGCCTTCGTTTGTGTTCACGGAGAGAAAATTTCCATTGCCTAATGCCAATATGCAGGCACCTCCCCCACACCTCTCTTCCGTCAGTTTCACACACCAACGAGGAGAAACGGACAGGAGAAAGTCGTAAAAAGACAACTAGAAGCAGATTGTTTCACGTGCTACCATGAAAAAATACCTTGGACTATGTGAAAGAAAAACTGTGTTCTTCTTCTTCTTGTTCTTGTTCTCACCAATAACTTGATGCACAAGACACATAGGGAAATACTGTGTCCCTGTATGCGTGCGCGCACACGCATGCATCGGATTTTTGCTTCATTTTCTGATCGCTGTCTCGATCGGTCCCAGGAATTTGCCTTGCCTTCTGAAATATTTTCTTTGCTGTTAAGAAACCAAACTGGATCATTGCAGGGATGTAGTACATTTTTGTCGCCCTGAACCTGTGTCCAGCTTCAATTAATATAATTGATTGATCGACGAGGAAACTGGCCGAAGCAGTTTTTAGGTAGGCTTGTCGGTGGGCTATCGAGTTTTCAGCTCACTGTATCTTGTGGGAGTCTTCTGTCCCTACCAGATACCCTTTCCCCTCTAGGACCAAATCAACCGGAGTGGTTATTTTCACCGGTTGAACTAGATCATTGTTAACTCAGTCAACTGAAATCTGGTCGTCAATCGTGTAGCTCACGGGTAAGGGGCTCAACTTCTCTTTTTAGTTAAGTCAAATGATGGTTTTATGCACTTCAAAGAATGAATACTCTGCACGTTAGAAGTTCGAATCCTCGAAGGTACACTAAAGTGGCAAACATTACACGCGGGTTTCCACAGAGATGAAACGGATTTTCCTTGTTCATTGTTGACTACAACCCAAATTTCATCGCATCTACAAGATGAACTTTGTTCCCAAGGAAAATGATATAATTTTGGATTCGTATAGTTTAGTCTAGCGATGTTGCGGAACCCTTCGGGATCAATTTATTCGTACTCGAGCGTTTACTGCACCCTAATCATGCAACTCGACCTGTTCATCTCCTATGTAGTGAGCAGTTCACCCCTATCTTGTCTCGGTTGGGTGATTGCCATTGCACCCGTTTGGTCGCTCTACGCAGCGGTTGCGTGTTGCTAGAATTTTCTTTTTCGTTGTGACCGCATATTACAACGGTGAACCTCTGAACTCTGTTTTGAAGAGATTTCCTTTTTCTGTACGTGCTTTGCACAACGACTCATTGCCCTGGTGAATCTTATATACGTTTTCTACAGGATTGGACCACACAGTATCATTACGGTAACCGGGACTGCATGGCAGCTTGTTATTTCCACGTTTTCGTCATCACTCAGAAATACAAAGTTTTATCAAACAAATTAGCGCGATGCATCCTAGTGGGGCGGGCACGATTTTCACAAGAATTTACTGCTTGATTACTGAAATCAGGCACTTAAACCATGAGAATAACACAACGTTCCAATACAATTCTTTTTTTCTTTTTAATTTTACTTCCTTCTTATTGAATACGCAATGATACAATTTTCAGGAAGGGGGAAGCGGCCAATCACAGGGCTTCCATGGGGAAAGTCAGGCGGTGATGGTGGGGTTCGAACACACGTCCCCCGAAGTGATAATTTGGTGACTTTATCACCGGACCACGATCGCCCGGTATTGAGCTGGATCACACTCCAGTCAAGTCGAAGATGAACTTTATTCATTCTTTATGAAGAAATTTTCAGTGAAAAATGCTGTCACATTAACTTGGCTCTTATGAATTCCAGAACAGGTTACATGATTAAAAAGTATCGTGTAAAGCGGCGATCGGGCCAAGTGATTAGGTCACCAGCTTATGACCCGGAAGTCCCGGGTTCGAGATGGATAATTAGATCATACAAAACACTTCTATATCTGAAAATGCTTGTTTAAAATCCGTTGACAGTCCGTGTTTAGGAATTTAAAAAATTGTTTCCGACTGCACGTTTACGTGTTTTAGGTGTGAAATTTAAAATGTCACCTTCCTGCATTCAAGAAAAGTTTATTGTTATTGTTTGAGATCGGCATAAGTTAAGCATCCGGGGTACTTAAATCATTGAAAGCGAGCAATAACTCGGTATACGTAGCCATCCCGCGGTTCATGGAACAGATAAACTCCACTCATTAACAGGAATTGAATGAAAAATTCACATTGTTAGACCATTCACTAATGCATTTTATGGCCAACTGACAGAGAGAGAGAGAGTTGACAGACGTCTTGTTTTGGGGTGTACCACCACCCACTTTGTTGTCTGCATATTTTTCAGTGAAAATCGATGGGCTGATTGGCAGGTTTTGAATATAAAGAATTAAAACAAAAGGGAGCTAAGATGGCGCCTTGCATTACACCTTGGTTTACGGAAATGGTGTATGAGTGCATACCATTGAGACTTATGAACTGGCGTCACGCACTGAAATAATCACGCATCCAATAAACCAGGTTGGGAGGAAGATTATGTTATTGTTATTCTAGTGATGATGAACTAGATCTATCAATTGGATTTGAAGCATTTTTTAACCCAAAAATCCAAGATGGATAACCTGGCGTTTGTTGTCAATCAGACGGAATGAAGTGAATCAAGCCAGCACAGGTGTTCACAGTGGAGGCCCATTTACAATAAGCAAATCATCAAGACCAACCGAAGGGGAGGGAGCGTTCGAATGACTTACTTTGTAGGGAGTATGAGACAGTTCGAAAAAAACTGACCATTCTCTTTCCTGGGTTCAAGAAAGATATGGAAATCACATCAGGCGTCAAGAGGTTGGCCCAATACCAAAAAAAAAACAATTGAAGATGGATGACAAAAATAGTGCTAAGGGGTTTGCATACGTTTCCACAACCGCTGGAGAGAGAGAGAGAGACAGTCTTGACGGGAGAACTGTTGATAGCCATCAGCTCCTCCTAAACTTGCTCTTCAGTGACAGTCAGAGGTGGTTGAAGATCAATTGGTATGATGTTTAGTGTCGATAACGTTTGTACGATATTGTTTCCCTAAACAAAAGACTTATTCCGTTTATTCCTTTCAGAAGGGACAGTAGTGGGCTGAGGTGATCAACCGCAGAGTAGTTTCATTCCTTTTCATAAGGGACGGCGGGACTTGTCACAGAGTACAGCATCAACATCAGGCTGAGGAGGGTGACCATTTCAGTCGACCAGAGATAAACAACTTCGTTTGCAGATGGGTTCTAAAAAGAGAGCAGTTAGTAATACTATCCCAGAAAACAGATTCATCGTGATAAAAACTAGTCAATGTTTGAGGAGGCACACAGTGATTCGGAATGTACAAAGTTGTCTGGGTATTTTTGTCGTATATTTAGCTTACGCGTTCGGTTCTTGATAAAGTTTGGACGACGGCACTTATGATATGCAATGGGCAGAACTATCATAGTATGGTAATCACATTTTACCACAGAAGCATATCTAAATCACTAAAGAATGTGAGTTCGGCCTAATCGTGCTTCATCTCTAGTGTGTAAATAAATATTATACAAGGGAATAAGTGTATAGAAGCTCATGTCACGTTTGTTAGAGTCACCAACAACTAAGATAACCGGTGTATCATTTTTTCTAGCATCTTCGGATAAAGTGTGTCCATAGAAAGGTAGACACTCCATTAGAAATACATTTCGGGGTTATAAAGAGGTGTGATACGATGTATGATACCGAAGAAGACGTGCCTCATATTCCAGTATAATGCAACAGTTGTTTTGTAATTTTTGTATGAAAATACATTTGGTTGAATTCCACCGTGGCTGGTACACCACCCTCGTTTGTCTGTCAAAACAAATAGAAGCCGTTGGTCTTTGAAATTCGTCAGCAGCTAATTATTGTTGGCAGGATTTGTGAAAAAAGTATATAACGCCACACTTAGTGTACTCCCCGAGGTAAATCATGTGGTCGATATTAAACATCTTCGAAAGAATTGATCATGCATCTCGAGACATTAGAAAACCCAGAGGTTTTATGTTTCTGCTCAGCAGCACCCGTTTACAGTCAACACAATGTTAATTCCGTTCTCCCATAGCATTTTGTATATGATTCTTTTAACTTCCTTTCATCCGATTTGTTAGAACGTATGTAGACACACATTGTTGTTATCTTCCACGGATACTTGTATATAATTAAATTGTGCACGCAATGATCAGATTCATCGCGGTCACAAAAAAGTTGAAGTATGATAAAAAATACCAAGGCAGCGGTGATACCAAAAACAACAGGACCAGGTTCAAAGACCCCGACATGGATGTTGCTCATTATAACGTCATCACAACGTACATATGCATTGTTCCTTTCCGATATACCAATTCATGTAGATTTCTTTTCAATCTCATACTTGCTGATCGGTAAATCTTTTTAATTTGCTTAAACGATGTTCGACTTTTGATTCTCTTTATTTTACTGTCTGTATTGGTAAGATAGATAACCCAGAGCTACAATTCTATTCAAGTTAGGGTGACTAGTATTCAAAGGACGGGTTAATTTGTCCGCAATGTGTGTTGTACGGGGGGAATCAAACAAAACAGTTTTATCAACTGCTTAACACTCAGCCGCATAAGATTCTCCTGGTTTGCTCTTCTGTTCGATCGATGGACGTGTACTGCTGATGATGTCCGAGAGAGAGATTGCAGTTCACGTTTGCTATTACATAGCCCGTTCGCATGCTCATCACCGGTTTGCTTGTTCATTCACTCAGTCCGACTTGCTGTCTCATTATCATATCAAACCCCATTAAGAGAATTGGTAGCAAAGTGTTTTAATTGCGTAGTATCTCACTGAACACTCGATCTGTTCCATCTACTTACCCTTTACTTCTGCTGACAGCGATGAATAGCCGCGAGTCGATGGTGAACCTAAGCACAATATTCAGCTGGGTGGCATTGATGATGTAGAAAAGTTTACTCTCGCCGCAACCACACAGCATTACATCCTTACCGACAGCGGAAATACTTATCAGACTATTTTGCTTTTACTGATTAGCATAGACAAACAACGGGGCAACCATGTACACTGTGTTTGTCTACGTGCGTATGTTTTTCTGGAAGTTGGGTAGTTGTCTGCCACATATCGCGCGCGCGCATGCCGCTTTTTTCTTTGGCCCAACTAGAATGATAGGTAACAAATTAGATTCCGAACTGTTTCCCCGGGTGAACTCACTTTTTCCACTAGATTGTTCTGATTGCAATGTATGCATAATACTGGAATTGTATCAAACCACTGCTGGGTTGCACACTTGACTGGCAGAGAGAGGATGGGCAGGAAGTGCTAAACATGTTGATGGCCGGTTTGCAGTATGTACCGACAGCTTATCCAAGAGAATGACAATTTTGCATGTGTTTGTCTGAGTTGGTTGAATACATATATTGGCAAAACTGACGAACTGTTTTCTACCTGTCAAAAGGAATCTATCCGTTCCCATCAAAAATCCCCTACCGGATCGCATATCCTAAATTGACTAGCTCCATGTTGGCTTATTCAACCCACTGGGTGGTTCGTTTTGCAAAATTGTACACAGTATTCGTGGGTGCGTGTTCTGCAAGCGTAGCTCTAACTGGTGATGAAACGTTTGTGAGCCTGTTATCCTGGTCTGCAAACATGTGAACGACAATCGTGTCGAATGTGGCAATTTTCTATGCATTATTAAGAGCTGGAGATAATCACGTTACTTATGACAGGAAAACTTATCAAGTTTTGTCATCAGTTCGGGATGCTCAACGAGACTTGCACTTCAAATCCAATGTGATTTAGACGCACATAACTTACTTGTTCTAGCCATTAGAGTTGGACCAGATTTAAAAACATTTGTACGCTGGTGGTTTCTTTGAAACCGTTTGGCGATCCTTGATAAGTAAGCGCTTGTTGCACACACGCTTCTATGTGTTTCGCCTAAAAAATCACGTATCATCAATGATTGCTTACGTAAGTTCGAGGAAGGAGGTGTATGTTTGGCTAATAGGTCGAGTGGAACACTAAGACTGTCGGTTGACTGAGCGAATAGGACCATTTATCTCTCGGCGCGTTTTGAGAAAGAAAAAAGATATTGCGTATACGAAGGGCCGTAGATAAGATCAACTGTATTTGGTGTTCTGAGACATGCGGTGATTTTCTACCCTCCATTTTTTGATGAATAATTCTACTCGGTCACACCTGAGTCATTTCACTGAATTGTTCCTCTGGGTTCTTTTTTGAACACAGACTTTTCAAAGCTATGGTTCCCTTGATTTCGGTTTCCTAAATATGATCCGATCAATTTGCAAACCAGTCCTCACCAATTTCAATATTTCTTCCTCCTCTTGTATGCTAATCCAATTACGAATCACGTTGTTGGTATGATTTCGCTCATGCTGCTGGCAAACAACAGTCAGTTGCCCATATACGCATTGATGGTCGGACGAACTCGGAACAGCGTTCGGTCGTGTGCAAAAAGTTCCAACAGGAAGAAGATTGTCGGGTCGCTTTACTTTCAATTACTGCGGCGGGAACAGGTGAGACAAATTCTGTTCAGTCCAATTCTGTCTGTGATCTACATGAATCATGTGATACACACTGTCCCATCACCATGCGAATCTGATTGGCTTCATATTTTTCATGCTCGGGCTGTTTTGTGATTCTGAATGATGAAGAGTAATGTTTGTCAATCGCTGCTGATGGTGCGAATAAACTGCAAGACTCTGTTCTCAAATGACAAAACTGTCATCATGGATTCGTGTTATGCAACTTTTTGTGTATCCTATTGACTGGATCAGTATTCCATACGAAATATTTCTTCTCTTTCATTCCCTTAGGACTGAATCTAACTGCTGCCAACCTGGTGGTCTTTGGTGAATTGTTCTGGAATCCGGGTGCACTGGTTCAAGCGGAAGATCGAGCCTACCGTATTGGACAACAAGATTCCGTGGTGGTTCGATACTTGATTGCAGAGGGTACAGTGGATGACTATATCTGGTTAGTTTTCTTCTTTTTCTCCCTCCCATCTTCTGCACGTGAGCTGTGCGAGATCGAATGACTTATTTTTCGTCGATTTGTTTCCATCCCGAGGTATTTTGTCTCATCATGGTGCCCGGATTAGCGAGGATTAAATATCGAATGGTCGCCACATTTGGTCAAACAAATCACAACGAAGGCGCTTAGTTCGATCGTGTTTTTTTCGGAGGGGGTGAATCGATCGAGTCCCCCCTCCCCGCCCCCACTCTCAATTTTGATGATGGCATGCAGGATCTGTCATCGATACGATTACAATCCCTCACTGTCTAGTTGACTGAATGTGGTTGGTATCCTCATCCGAGTCACTGTTTTGCGTCTGATCCGGTTATTTTGACAGGCTTCTGTGCAATCTGCTTGGTCGTGTTTCAGCGAGCGTTTCATTTGTTTGTTCACTGTCAATACTAACGTTGCTATGGACCAGCGACAATCTCGACCGAGTTGTTCTAACTCGCTCCGGTTTCGATCTTGTGCCTGTTTGATAAAACGCCTCCTTTTTTGTGTGTACGTGGTCCTATGCTCATCGGGATCCCACATCTACCAGCTGTACGTGGGTAAACATTCTCGATTGAGGAGGACTACGAGTAATTTGCCTCATCCCACAACGCGATCTATTGACTCTCACAACGGGACTCGCGTTGTTTGCCCACTCACTCACTCGCTCATTGACGTGTCACTTCGAGCAATCCACTCACTATGTACGCGCACCCAGACAGCCATACGGCGTTTGCGCGCGCGCGTGTGTGTTGACCATGGCAAACAAGCGCTGCCATACTTGTGCCTCCTTACTGATTGTGAATATTTCATACACTTTAGAAATTCCTCTTGAGCACTATCCCAAATACAAGAGATTCGATAAGTGAGCGATTTTCCTAATAGTTACGTTATGAATTATGATCTCTGCAATAAAGCGGAACGAATGATAACGAGTTGAACATTCGATGAATAGTTTAGACGTTTCACTTATTCTTTATTCATCGATATTCTCTGTCATCGGCTTTTTAACCACCTTTTCAGGATGTTTAGATCCGGATATTTTCTTGGGGTTTGCAGTTGACATTCTGTTGCAATACGTCGCCAGTTTCTTGTACGACAGTCACCGTTGTGTTGTATTGTGTTTTATTGACTTGTTAATGCAATTATATCCACACTTCAGGTAAAAAAACTGTGCACACCTTTTCATTGAAACAAAAAACGATGAAAAGGTAGGGTACAATAATGAAATATGAGAACAAAGGATCGTGTTCGTAGGGCCTTCTTCTTGTCACTTATAATGCGAGCGAAATATAATACACTGTTGAATTACGGTAAATTATTATACGGAAGACTAGAAAGGGAAAATTAGATCGAGTTAAGCTGTCGGAATGGTAGGCAAGTAGATCAGGATTCTGCGGGTGACTGGGGTCGTTAAGACTGTTGTGGGCGAAATTTTCACTTGAAGGTATATGAAATTCACGGGGTTTTGTGGTCGGAATGTTTATGGAAATAGGGTGAACACGAGTCATAGTTACTAAACCGCGGCGAAGAGTTTTTAAGTAGTCCAGGTAAAATTACAAGTAAATTACATGACGCACCGTAATACCGTAATATGTGTTTATCCTGACCATGGACAAACTGATTCAGTCTAACTTCAGTTTAGTTGACTTTCTTTTAAGAGGTTCGGATATCGCAAGCAAACACCCGTCAATAGTACACAGTGTGTTCACTCATTTCGAATGGGATCGTATCGGTGTAAGTAGCAGTGTGNGTGTGTGTGTGTGTGTGTGTGTGTGTGTGTGTGTGTGTGTGTGTGTGTAAGAGGCAGTTAGGTCTGGGTGGGGGGCCGCATATAATCGGGATACCACAAGCCCTCTGGCACTTGGCATCGGGTGATCTGATTGGCACGTGATTTCCAGTTCTGTTATTGTGAGCCGACCTGGATGTCGGATACTTTTCTGATTGACCTTTCGTAAGATTTGTTTTCCCGATACTATGGTTTGTGTGTCAAATATTTTTTATCCTCATATTTCGATTCTGTCGAAATTTTTCATGGAATTGTGTTGTGATTAGAAGTCGTCGTCAACAGATTGTATGCTTCTGACTGCCGATTCACTAAGGTAAACGGCACCGCTTTTAACAGTTTTCACCAGGATCGCAGTGTACATTTTCCAGTTGGAAACGAACAAGAGAATAAGTTGGTTTTCTTCGAGTATCACACACTATTGATGTTCTATTTATGAAGAATGTCAATCGAAAATGCGATGGCCATACCAACATGTGTTTTCTAAAAGGCCATCCATCTCTCCGTCACAAAGCCTTTCATCAGTGCTTTATTTTCCCGGTCTTGTGCGTATATTTCACGGGTTTATCTGACTTTTACTAGTGATTGGAATTTGCACGGGAGATTAACGATCTCCCAAGGAGTGAAACCAACATACCAGACCATTAAGAGTGACTGGTGCCTTTGTACAGTCGAATGGGCTAATTCAAGCTTGATACACTAAACAAAAAGGTAATTACGTATGCAAACGGTTTTACTTAAAGATATGACAGCAATCGCAATTACGCTATTCCTCCATCTGTGATCATGTGATGCCCGCCGGTCCCAAACCATCGGGTTGATCGAGACACGACTGTGAGGATATGAAATCGGCAAGATACATCGAGAAGATTATGACTCGTAGTCGGAAGACTCCCTCCCATCCATCCGTCAACGGAAGCTCTGTATAGCACGCTCTCCGCTTCCATCGGTAATAGTCCTTTTGTTTTAAATTACCAATACTTGATTTTTGCACTTAAAACGATCAATATTTGATTGTAATTTTCTGAATTATACAGCGGTTGAAATTGTTCCGAACCTAAACCATGCAGTGTTACAATGCGGACTGTTCTGTTCAAATCAATGTCAAAGAAAGGACTGTTTTGATTTGTGTTAACGTCTCTGAATCAGACGAATTATTCATGCCCTACTTTTTCTCACTGCTTGAACCTCTTATATTGCCCTTTATCAACCGTCCCATCCGGTGTAGTCTCCTGATTTGTGCTTGGGGTAGACAAGGGAAGAGTGAGAAAACTACACCGATGCATCAAATGGACTTCGACTGGGCGCGTTGAACCACGTCAATCTTTTAACGTGTCCGAAATCGACCCACCAGGCTAACCGGTCGTAGATAGGGTTGATCTTTATCGCCATGGCTACTACTAGCCTTACACTCGGCAAAAACACATTTCCGGGGGAGTTGCTCTTCGGTTTTCTTTGAAGTCCCTTTATGGACCGCCTAAAGTAACAATTTCTGTCCTCACTCGTCGTTGTTGCATGTTTTTCCCAGGCTTATCTTATCCAGGACCACTCTAGCTGCATTGTCTCTTTGATGCGATAACGCCCTGTTCGGGTTGAGTAGACCTGTATTTCTTACATGGTAGAAATAATGACGATGGCCAGACTACACTCTCTAGACGGAGGAAATTCATCACAATTCTCCAGTGAAGTTTACAAATACGGTCGAATTTTAAAGCTAGTGTTACTATACCTGGACAAAGCGCACAGATCACACATGCAAGTACTGGTAGTCGGTCACTAAGATCACTGAGCAGCTCTTTCCTCCCTTTCGGGGCTGGTCAGCACTGTGTATTACTTTTGACTTCGCTCGGACTCGAACTGCTAACTTTTGGGTTGGGAGCTGAAATCCTTAGCCTGAGCTCTATGGTCTTGAACACATTACTTGATATGTATTTCAGACACATCTGAATCCACGCTGCGTGCCAAACAAATCATAAAACAAGAATCTCTATAAAAAGGAGAAAGTTCTCTGATTTGTTTGTAGACGGAATATTGCCAAGTTTCCCAGGCCAAGCCAGTAAATTTTCTTGAGGAAATCAC